ACAAATCGTGTTGAGTGCTTTCCTGCTGGACGGGAGGGCGCCCGACAAAATATTATGCTTTTCCTCAAGTTGTTTTAAAAAGTGTTGTGGTTTACTCATCTTATAAATGCAGAAAGCTGGGGAGATAGCTCAGTGGCTTAAACACCTGCCTGGCAAGTACAAGGTCTTGAGTTCAATTTCCAGTATCAAAAAAAGTTGCAGAAATTGTCAGAAGTGTGAAATTTATATAGATTTATGATAGAGTTCTTAGCTACCTTCAGAAGAAATTTGGATTTTATTTTTTGATAAAAGTGCATGCTTATCTCTGTTCAAGTTCTAATCTTGGTTTGTTTTTATAAATTTTCTTTAAAAATAATTCTTTTCAGAAAAGAGACAGAGCACTGGTCATTCCATGGCAATAAATGGCTCTTCAGCATCTGTAGTTAGCTGCCACTTGATGCAGTTTGGCATTTTGTTATACAAGCAATTATGGCAAAATATCCTTTTACTGTACAACTAAAATTTGGCTTTAGTTCGAAAGTTTTCTTTAAAGTATTCTGCCCCTTTCAATTTATAAATAAGGGAAATAACTAGGCCAGAAACTTACCTTTGAACATCAAAACTCTGTAACAGTCTAACTGTATATTTATGCAAAACATATCTTCTTTTCCTAAATAGATGTATACTAAATACTGTATACTAAGAAAACTTTAGGTCAATTCAAGGTTGCAAAAATGGCCAATAATTTTACCAAAGTCTTCAGGAACTACTGAGATACACCAGTTTATTCATGCAATGAGTTCAGTTCCATTTTACTGTGCTTTCTAGGCTGCTATTTATCATTTTTATTACTGTCAGTATGTCACTGATTTTAATCTACTCACTTATACATAACTGCGTAGTTGTTTCCAATTTCTTTTTTTCTTTTGGTTTGGCAATGGTCCCCATTTTTTCAAATGAAAACTTATACATACGCAAATATATAAAAAGAATGAATGTGGATGTTCGCTATGCAGATCCAGGGAGCTAACACCAAGCCGCCGTATCACCACAGAAAACAAGAATCACCTGATAACACCTGAAGCCACCATCAAATATTTTAATGACATTTGTCTAATCTAAGAGTCATTTTTTTTTGTTCTGAGGGATAATTTTGGAAAATATCATACAAACCTTCCCCCAAACTGAGAATATAGTGCAGTATAAAGGCCCTAAATTCGACCCTTAGTACTACAAAAAAATGAATCAACACAGATAATCATGAAGCTAGAATCATGGAAAAGCAGAAGACATCACAGAGGAAAGACCAAAGCAGTCTGGAACACTACTTCTGGCTCTGGTTCCTGCTCCAAAAGCAGCTTCACCAGGTAAGGCCAGGTTAAGACTGGAGACAGTCAGCAGCCCCAGTGTGATAAACAAGAGAAAGAAGTACCTGCCCTAGGAAATAACCAGTTATTATGCCCTCTACATTTTTATTCGTATGTTTGTGATACGTAATGAATACACATTGGAGTTACACACACACACACACACACACACACACACACACAGACTTTCCCTTCCCC